ACGTCTTCCGTGACTGCACCACAGTCACACCGCTCACCAAACGTGTCCCAGTCACTCTGGCTGACCCCTCTGGGGGCCCAGTCGTAGCACGTGACTCCGTCGTTTTCCTGTGTCCGGTAGCCCCAGTCGGTCTCCACCCCCCCTCGTTCATTACAAACTTGGTGTGTAACACTGTCCTCCAGGACCAGTTTGTCACTGTCACTATTCCTGGGGGTGAGCTTGTGGCGATCTGTACGGACTCACGGACTGGCACCCACCTTTCCACGTTCACTCGGAGACCTGGGTCTGGCCTGTACACACTGGCCACTGAGTCCGCACGGGTAGCTGCGTCGAGTCAGGTGGCTGCGTCGGGTCGGTAAGTTGCGTCTTGCTCGTGTCGACTTCTCACGCGCCAGTCCCTTTTTGGCACCACCGTCTTGGTCACCCCTCCCTGCTGCGTTTGCATAGCATGCACTCCCGTCTCCTTGTCTCTGGCCTCCCCAGGTCCCTGTTCCCGCTTCCGTGCTCACCTGCACCGTCGTGCCTTCCCTGTGTTGAGGGGCGGCAGTGCGCCGCTCCTCACTCCTCCTCGTTCCCTCCGACCACTTCTCTTCTGCAGACTCTCCACATGGACGTGTGGGGCCCCGCCCGCGTTAGTGGACCGGACTGCGAACACTACTTGCTGCTGGTTGTTGACAACTACACGCGCTACACCACACTCTTCCCATTGCAGAGCAAGACGGATGTCCGTCGTGTTTTGATACCTTGGATCCGCACTCTCCGTCGCCAGCTCAGCGCGCGGTTCCGGCAGGACCTTCCGGTCCTGCGCCTGCACTCTAAGAGAGGCGGTGAGTTTCCCTCCCGTCTCCTTGATGACTTTTGCCTTGCTGAGGGCATCTCTCAGTCGTTCATGCTTCCGGCCTCTCCACAGCAGGTTGGGATTGCTGAGCGTTGCATTGGCTTGATCATGGAGGTTGCTCGCACCTCCATGATCCATGCGGCTGCTCCCCATTTTCTGTGGTCGTTAGCTGTCTGATACGCCGCGCATCAGCTCAACCTCTGGCCCCGTGTCTCTGTGCCAGAGACCTCGCCTACTTTGCATTGGATGGGGGAGGTTGGCGATGAGTCGGTGTTTCTGGTCTGAGGCGCGCTCTCCCTTGTTCGCGATCCTACTGCAGGCAAGCTCTTTTCTCAAACTCTCCGCTGCGTTTTCTTGGCTTTCCCACTGATGCACCGCCCTGGCAATTTTACCACCCTGCCTCGCGCCGCGTCCTGTCCTCCCAGGACGTCACTTTTGACGAGTCGGTTTGCTTCTACCGTCTCCACCCGCACAACACTTTCCCCGTCCCCACCCCGCCTCTCTTCCAGGTTTCAGGTCCTTCCCCGGTAGACCCTCTCCCCCCCACAGGGTCCTACTCCATCAAGTGTGTCTCAGGTTGACCCAACCCCCTTGGTTGAGCCTTTGGAGGTTTCCTATGGTACCTCTGGCCCAGCCGAGAGGGGTGACACTGCTGCTGACGACACATCGGCTACTTGCCGCTCAGCGCCCTCGGAGACCCCTCCTGGTTTTCCACCTCGGTCGTCTTCGCCGCCACTTCAGCCTGTTGCTGTAGACTCTGGTGCTGCTGTAGGTGGTGACACTGGAGGTGCGGCTTCTAGGGGTGGTGACAGTGGAGGTGCGGCCTCTAGGGGTGGTGACACTGGAGGGGCTGATTCTGGGGGTGCTGAATCTAGGGGTGCTAAGTCTGGGGGTGCTGGTTCTGGGGGTGCTAAGCGTCCTAGTGGTGGTGGTGGTGGTGCTCTTGCTGGAGGTTCTAGGGGTGGATAGCAGCAGCAGTCTCGTTGGCAGGAGGCTCTCTTGCCACAGCAGCTTCGCGAGTAGGTTGCTCGCCGGTTCCGCTCTGGTGGCGGAGCTGGAGGTGCTGGAGGCGCTTGGACTGAGGTACTGGCGTTGGAGGTGCTAGAGGCGCTGGAGGTGTAGGTCCTGGTGCTAGGGCTGCTGGTTCTGGAGGCGCTGGAGCTGGAGGTACTCGCGCTTGAGGCACTGGAGCTAGAGGTACTCGTACTGGAGGTGCTGGAGGTGCTGGAGGCGCTGGGACTGGAGGTACTGGCGCTGGAGGTGCTGGATGTGCTGGAGCTACTAGAGCTGACGGTGCTAGAGGCACTACAGCTTTAAGTACTAATGCTGGAGGTGCTGGAGGTACTGGGGCTTGAGGTGCTGGTGCTGGAGCTGGAGGCCCTGGTACTGTGGGTACTGTACAGCAGCGACCGTTTTTCATGCTGTAGCTAGTCACTACCACCACCAGGCTCGGCGGTTTGCCAGGTTCTTCCGTCTTCCACTGGCCTTACTCCTCCCTTACTGTGTCCACCGCCTGACCCGTCTCAAACATAGTTACTGCCGGACTCCTCGCTGCCTCCTCCTTCTCGTTACACTGAGCAGCCACACTCCTCGACCGAGTGATGTGAGCCTGCGTCTCGTCCTACCTCGCCTGTTCGCACTGTTCGTCGTGCTCGTCCCGTTCCTCGTCCTCGTCCTCCACCTGTCCCCGGCACGCACACTATGACACTGCGTCTTCCCTCTGTTCCACAGCGTGTTTCTCTACCATCTCCTCTCGAGTCCTTCTTTCCTGACGTTCCTGACCCTGAGTCTGACCTTGCTCGTGCTGCTAATCCTATTGTCATGCGTTTCCTGACCACCCTCATCACTTACCCTTCCTTTGAGTCTACTGCTGTATCAGCCTTAGTCACTGAGCTCGTTCACTTCGCTACTACCTGTCGTCTAGACTACGTCGCGAGTCTTGTTACTGAGTCTGAGTCTGACTATCCTCTGTCCGTCGCGGGTGAGCTTGCACTTGGCACTGATGTTCTTGAGGACAGGCAATTTGAGCTCGAGTGCTTTTCGGCTACTGTATCTCATCTCGCTTCCATGCAACTTTGCCCTGTGGGAGACCCGGATGTTGTAGACATCCCCACCCCGCGCTCTTACGCAGAGGCAATCACAGGTGAGTACTCCTCTCAGTGGCAGACAGCTATGGATAAAGAGATGGCTTCCTGGAAGTCTACATGAACCTACGTCGATGTAGCTTTCCCACCTGGGGCGAACATAGTCGATGGCATGTAGATCTTCCGAGTGAAGCGACCGCCGGGTTCTCTGTCTGTCATCAAGGCGGGTTATGTTGCACGAGGCTTCAGTCAAAGACAGGGGGTCGAGTTCTTCCAGACCTTCTCCCCCATCCCGAAGATGACCACTCTTCGGGTGTTACTGCACATAGCAGCACAGCGTGACTACGAGCTCCACTCGCTTGACTTCAGCACAACTTTCTTGCAGGGCAGCCTTCACGGCGAGATCTGGCTGCGCCGCCCATTTGGCTTCACTGGGTCGTTTCCTGAGGGTGGAGCCTCCAACGGCCAGTTTACGGTCTCTATCAGGCACCCCGCGAGTGGCACGTCACACTGAGGACTGCACTTGCGGCTCTTGGGTTAGCTCCTTCGACTGCTGACCCGTCGTTGTTTCTGCGCACCGACTGTTCTGTACTGTCGTTGTACATCCTCGTGTACATCGACGACTTGGTCTTTGCCACTGTTGACATTAAGGCACTGGCCCCTGTGAAGGCGGAGCTGTAGAAGAGACACACCTGCACTGACCTTGGTGAGCTGCGCAACAATCTTGGCTTGCAGATCACCTAGGATAGAGCACCGCGCACCATCACTATGACTCAATCACATATGGTGCACCACGTCCTTCAGCACTTCGGCTTTCGGTTCTCCTCGCCACAGTCCACTCCTCTGCCTACAGGTCACTCGCTCTCAGCTCCACCTTCGGACGAGTCTGTAGAGCCGAGTGGTCAGTATCCAGAGCTTGTGGGCTGCCTCATGTACCTGATAACCTGCACTCGACCAGACCTCCCGTACCCTCTCTGCATCCTGGCGCGCTACGTTGTGCCCGGGAGACACCGACCAGAGCACTGGCGGGCTGCACAAAGGGTGTTGCGTTACTTGTGCAGAACATCGAGCATGGGGCTCGTGTTTGGAGGACGGGGTTCAGTTGTACTCACTGGACACTCAGACGCTTCTTAAGTAGACGACCAGGCGACACAGCGGTCGTTACAGGGTTACACTTTCAATCTTAGCTCCGGTTCAGTTTCTTGGAGGTCTACCTGCTCGTCTTCTGTTCTCAGCTCCAGTTGTGAAGCTGAGATCTACGCGGGGGCCATGGTCGCACAGGAGTTACGCTGGCTAACCTACCTGCTGACCGACTTGGGTGAGCGGCCTCGTTCTCCTCTAGTCCTGTACGTTGACAACAAGGCCATGATTGCCATGTGTGGGGAGAAGAGACTGGAGCATAGAACGAAGCATATCGTTGTGCGTTACTTCCTTGCACGAGAGTTGCAGCAACGTTGTCAGCTTCGCATTGCTTACGTGGCCTCACCAAGGCATGTCTGGTGATAATCAACATTTCTGTATTGCTCTAGGCCTTGTGCCTACTTTGCTTCATGTGTTTACTGCTTGACTTTGCCTTGTACTGTACATTCATGCTTACTCTTGCTAGGTTGTGATTACTGTGTTGTTTGTGCTTTTATAACTCTGCATGTGAACTGGCCTTGTGGCCGCTTGCTTGTGCTCAGACTGTGTGGTGATCTTGAGATCCACCCTGAGCTTAGCTTTGTTTGCGTCTCTCGATTAGTCTTGTGACCACATGCTTGTCATGGTCGTTTTGATGCATCTCACTCAGGATATGGGGGTGTGCCAAAGGTATATTTTATATATGTTTAGCCTGTAATGAGTTGCCCCTTACGAATACAACCTTTCTCTCGACACTTGCCTTGTACCCCTCCTTGAACTAATCTAGTCATTCCTAGTCTACTACTCTAACAACTGAGTGTTGTTGAGTCCGAGGAACAGATTCAGTGAGTGTGAGATATTGATGTCTACCGGTAGTTTCTCCAGAATGTCTCTCTAAAGCGATTGAGGACTCCCCTTCTTTTGTGCTGGTTTCTTTTACTTTGCCTTTAGCCATCACTATGGCTGGAACACACCCCCGCCATAATAACGAATCACCACCAGCATGTTTGTAACACGCTGTGCTCCACGTGGGTTGGGCGTGGACCTTGGCCTGCGTGGAATGGCCCTTCAGTGACGTGCCCTGGAGAGAACATCCAAGGCGGCGCGGTATCCAATTCTGTCAGAAGTTTCCTCCTGCTGGTATTCGTGGGACCACAAGGGCCCAGCTCCACGTCAACTTTCAGTATCCCGTCGCCATTCCGTTCCGCCAAATCGTCTCACCTACAAGCCCAGAGCGATTTCGCTAGCCTCACAGACAGACTTGATAGATATATCTCTCTGAGCTTATGTGTGCCATCAGTGATTCACTAACGCCTAGTTTCCAGTTCCGACAGCATTTTGAGCCTGTTCACGGTCCGGTCTCTGCCGCTATCTCTGGAAGCCTGTCTACCGTGATTACCGTACTGCATTGGATCGGGTAGACATCTGATTCGCACCAAGTTATCAGTAGACATCTGTCTCCATTTTTTTAAAGTTTGAACTCATGGGTTCGGAGTCGCGTGATTCCGCAGCCAGTCGGTTGTCCATCCTAGCCGGTCACTTGTCTCTATCCGACGTTCGACAGGACGGCCAATGGCTTCGCGTGAACCCCACCTCAGCGGAAGTTAGGCCCGCACCTGGCGGAGGTCCCGGCGTGCTTCACGTCGTCGACGGGCGTACGGGGAAGAAGTACGAGCTCGAGATCAACGAGGACGGCGCCATTCGCGCCAGCGATTTCAAAAAGGTCAGTCTTAGGATCTCGCGTCGCGACGCACACGTCTAAGCGACCCCGTTATTTCGCCTCCTTATACCATGATTTGGCTAATTAGCAGTACATTTCCTGTGATTATTGTGTTTTTTTTTTTGCTTCAGATTAAGGCGGGAGGAGACGGTAACGGCCTGAAGCTGTACGATCCGGGTTATCTAAACACCGCACCTGTGCGGTCGGCCATCTGCTACATCGATGGCGACAAGGGCATTCTGCGATACCGCGGTTACCCGATTGAGGAGCTCGCAGAGCGAAGCACCCACCTTGAGACGGCCTACCTGCTCAGTAAGTCCAGCCACGACCGTAATGTCGTGCATAAAAAAATGAGGTGCTCTGTTGGTTTATCGATCCCGTTGAGTTGTAATAAGATTTGGAACATTAACACGATGGTGCGCATTACACTGGCAGTGTATGGAAATCTGCCGACCCAGGAGCAGCTGTCGGACTGGGAGGGGACCATCATGCAGCACTCCGCGCTCCCTGACGGTGTTCTGGTGCGTTGACGGAATTTGTCACACTGTTATAGGAATTAAACATTCCCCTTCTATTCGCGAATCAACCAGCCACTCTGAATTGAGAAGTTAACCGCCATAGTAACTATTTTGTTGGAACGAATGACAACTTCATTGAGTAGTTAGAGATGTCATTTTCTTACTGACCACCTACGTTGCAGCAACCCCATGTGCCGGCAGTCTGCACTGAATAGCACTGCCGACCAGCAATTTCTGATACTGCCCTTCTGTGCCCTGTCCCCCCTGTGTCCGTGCGTGCGTGCTGCCAGGCGGTGATTGCAGCTCTGCCTCGGGACAGCCACCCGATGGGCGTGCTCACAGGGGCTCTCTGCGCGCTCTCCTCCTTCCACGCTGATGCCAACCCTGCTCTCCAGGTGCGTTGCCGCGCGTGTGCACGTTTTTTGGGGTAACCACCCCTCATTTACTACATGCTGATTCATGTGAAGATAAGGTCCAGCCGTTGCACTCGCGTCCAGTCTTTTAACTCACAAACTCAAATATACACAGTCAGCACTACATTACGCAGAGGTTGCAGTCGAGTCAACTCAAGAGCCCCCATTCATGTCTGAATGTGGCACATCCTGGCCTTGCGGCATGTCCCTGTGCAGGGCCAAGACCTGTACAAGTCCAAGGCCGTTCGCAACAAGCAGATTGTGCGAGTTCTTGGCAAGGTACGTCTCGTAGCTACACTGCGCTCCCCACCAGGCGCCCACCACCACAAAAGCCGCAGCAACGTACCTGCACATGACTGGGACAGAGTATGTGTGGTGTGTGTAAGGTGCTGACAGTGCGATCCAGCCATCTGAACGTTATTTCTCGCATGTCCTGTTCTCTTCCTGCCTTGGTCCACCATGTTACCACCATGGCAGCAGCAGCTGCGTATCTGAGGCGTCTCAACAGTCGTTTCAACCACATAAATTGTATCTTCGGTTCCCTGTTGTCTCTTGTCGCCGCACACCAGGTGCCCACCATAGCAGCAGCAGCGTATCTGCACATGGCGGGGCGGCCCCCTGTGGCACCAGCAGGCCACCTGTCATACGCTGAGAACTTCCTCTACATGCTCGACTCCATGTGAGTCTCTCTGCTGAAAGAGTCAACTTCTAAGTCAACTCAAAAGTCAACTCTGTGGCGCCAGCAGGCCACCTGTCGTATGCTGAGAACTTCCTCTACATGCTGGACTCCATGTGAGCACCCTTTGCTGTAGCCCTGTCTAAGAAGCCATCGAATCAGCATCTGATACAGTTACGAAACTCGGTTTCCTGCTGATAGCTGTCAAAATGTCGGTTGGGGTCCGTGTGCTGTGTGCTGTGTGCTTGACGCATATGCACCATCTCTTTGCTCTGCTGTGTGCACCAGGGGCGACCGCTCGTACCGCCCGCACCCACGCTTGGCGAGGGCGGTGGACATTCTCTTCATCCTGCACGCCGAGCACGAGATGAACTGCTCCACTGCTGCTGCTCGCCACCTCGCCTCCAGGTATTGCTTGCTTGCTTCCCCGTCACTTCCCACAACTACCTGCTGCTTGTCTCTCTCATTGTCTCGCCCCATGCTTACCACAATCTCCCCCCCTTCAAGAGTTGTTGGATCAATTGTGGTTGACGTTCTCCTTGCTCTCGTCCTCCCCCCCCTCCCCCCTCCCCCTTTTCTCGCATTCGTTGTGCAGTGGAGTGGATGTGTACACGGCATTGGCAGGAGCTACTGGTGCTCTGTACGGCCCGCTGCATGGTGGTGCCAATGAGGTGAGTCACAATTTCTGGATGCTAGCAAGGGACAAGCACTCGCGCTCACCATGTTTACCACAATGTAGCTTTCTTTACCGAATGCTTTTGACCTCTCCTCCTCCCCTCTACCCCTCGGTTTCCCCACAGAATTTCTCCTTCTGTTGTTATTTCAAATGCATTTTCGTACCACAGGCGGTGTTGAAGATGCTGAGCGAGATAGGCAGTGCGGACAAGATCCCCGAGTTCATCCAGGGCGTCAAGGACCGCAAGCGCCGCATGTCGGGGTTTGGGCACCGTGTGTACAAGAACTACGACCCGCGCGCCAAGGTCATCCGCGGGCTCGCCGAGGAGGTCTTCTCCATTGTGGGCCGCGACCCGCTTATTGAGGTGTGCTGGGAGGGGAGCGACGGTGGGTGACTCTTAAACGGGAAAATTGTGGATTGTTTTGGATAGCATGTCAGGGTTTGGGCACCGTGTGTACAAGAACCATGACCCCAGGGTCAAGGTCATCCGCGGGCTCGCCAAGGAGGTCTTCTCCAATGTGGGGTGCGGCGTGACCCGCTCATTGAGGTGCGTGCCTTTCTCCTCCTGTGATCTCTATGCAATCTTGTTTCCTGTTCCAGTTACTATCCCTGTACATTGAGGATTGGTATCCTCTGACCTCTATGGGCTCTTTCTTTATGTGCAGTTCCCTACTGGGCTGACCCATGCAGCTCCCTGGTTCATTCCCTTGACACCGTGTGCTTGTGTGCTGCACAGGTGGCAGTGGCGTTGGAGCAGGCAGCACTGTCGGACGAGTATTTCATCAAGCGCAAGCTCTACCCCAACGTGGACTTCTACTCCGGCCTCATCTACCGGTCAGTCCCGCCATGCCATGCCAGACACGCCATGCCATGCCACACATGCCCTGCCACTTGCGCCCTGCATGTCATGCCATGCCAGTCACACCATGAGTGTGCCATTACAACAGGGTGCCTTGAACCCTAATCGAGTATTTCATCAAGTACAAGCTCTACCCCAACGTTGACTTCCGCCCGGACCTCATTTACTGGTCAGTCCCGCCCTGCCTGTCAGGCCGTGTGCGCCCTGAACCATACATTTCACCACTCCAATCCAAACCCATCCCCGTTTCCCACCCCATCCGCACCACCTTCCCTCGCGGCAGTGCGCTGGGCTTTCCAACGGAGTTCTTCCCAGTGCTGTTTGCCATTCCGCGCATGGTGGGGTACCTGGCGCACTGGAAGGAGTCACTCGACGATCCTGACACGCGCATCATGCGCCCCCAGGAGGTGCGTTGTTACAGGCGTCCTGCCCTCTCAGGGAATGTACTCTGTAACCGGTATGCTGCTGCAGGTGACATATCAACATGTCAACATTAGAAGCAGCCATGTTAGAGTGACAGCACATCAGTGCCTCAGTTACACTAAGTTACCTCAGTCCACACAATCACTGCACACATGGAGCAGTACCTTGGCTGTCTCGCTTTCCCTTGCATTGACTTATCACTTGCGTCTTGGAAACTTGTGTTTTTCAAGTGACCTTCATTCCTACGTGCCCTGGCGTGTCTCTTCTGTGTGTTCACGTGTGAGCAGTGCTACATCGGGGAGTGGTTCCGCCACTACCAGCCGATTGCCATGCGCCCGCCCTCAAGCACGGAGGGTTTAGGTCAGATCGCTGTGTCAAATGCTACAAGGAGACGACTCGCTGCCATCTCCTCCAATATGTGATTTGACCGCCTGCTGCAGTGTTTTGATATATGGGAAACTGGTTTCAGGTTTAGGGTTCACTGATTTCCTTTTATCCATCTTTATGCAAACGATCAACAACTTGTAAAAAATGCTATATTTGTTGTTATGGCATTAGTCGCTAAAACTAGGTTATCCCGCATTCAAGCATTCACCTTTGCCCTTACAATTTGATGGTAAGGATGCCTGAGATAACATATTACCCAATAGCAAAACTGGAGAAGACCACAGACCCCGGCGATATGATTGAAACGAGGATGGACGGAGAGGAATACCAACCGGCACTATCGCCCCACCGGTGCCGCTCTCTGGTTGCCTAGTTGAATTGCTGTGGTCCTGTGCTGCTCCTGACCCTAGACTCACTCACATCTCTTGCCCGTGAAGCACACCCATATTCTCCGCCCATTATGGGGTTCCAGGTTGCTTTCCGCTTCCGCCCCCACTGCGATCCGCCGCCGCCGCGTCGTCGCCTGGTACGAGCTCGCAACCAACTTGCAGCTGCAGAAGCTTGCCGAGATTCCGCCATCTCGACCTGGACCCTTTGTTGAGGCGACTCACGAACCCTCCACCTGGACGCTGAAGCGTCGAATAGTGATCGTTGCTCCCGATCCTAGCAATGGCGTTCTGAAGTAGTTGCGTTGTCGAGTCAACGCAACTGATGCTACATCCACCAACCGTGGAAACCGTCTTATAAGACGGAGGCATCACCGCTGGCTCTCTCCAGCAGCAGCGGTGGCAGGAGATGATCTGCACCTGTCCGATATCTCTCTCACCTACCTCATTCCGTGTGCTCGATACACGTACTACCTCAGTCTTCTAACGGAAGCTTGCGCCTCGAGCTTGCAAGCCGTTTCGAGGGCGAATAGGATATGGTTGGACCGAGAAGCTATTGCGTCGATTCGAGTCGCACCGCCGCTTACCGCCCATGCCGCGCGGCGCTGGCGCCGGCTCCGAGCCTTGGAGACTCGTCGAGTTGAGTCGAGTCGGGATGACGGAGGAAGGGGGGCGAAGAGGAGAGAGGGAGACGGGGGACGGAGCCTGGCGCTATAAAGCTGGCAGGAGTAGGCCCTATTGTTCACACCATTCTTATCTTCCTTCGTTCTCAGTTGATCATCGTACCTGGTGGCCCTCTTTCACTATCGTCCGCGTCTTCGACGTTTCTACTTCGTTTCCTTTTCCCTCTCGGAGGAAGCATGGCGCGAAACGCGGTTACCCCGAGGGCGGTTTTCGCCAGCGGCATCGCAGCACTCCTCGTGATGTCTCTGCTGAGCAGCAGCGCGCTGCTGAAGGCGCAGGCGGAGGGGCAGGTGGACTGGGAGGCGCAGACGGAGTCGATCCTCCAGCAGGTGTCGCAGCAGACTTATCTCTCCGCCTTCTCCGAGATCTTCACCGACTTCTGTGAGCTCCCTACCAATCCAACATCTCACTGATTCCTCGCAACCTCTTTCTGTGAGCTCCCTCCCACCCAGCCCGCCATCTCGCTCACTGACCCTTACTCCTGACTTTAGTGATCCTCACCCACTTCTGAGAGCTTGAACTCCCTCTCGTTCACTGACCCTTACCAACCACGTATGACCCCTTCTGACCCCGTCTGACCTCTTGTCTCAGACTTCCACCGACTTCTGTAAGCCCCCAACCCTCCATCTCGTTCACTGACCCTTTCGGACCTGCTCTCGCCGTTTCTGACTGGTTCAATCAGGCCCGTTCAGAAGGACATCTCTCGTAGCTTACCACACTGTGTCAGCGATCCGAGTCTTAGTCACTCAACCCCTCAGTTTCCTTTTTGATTGTACCAACCTCTTCCTGCCTTGCTCTTTCTCTTCCCCGTGCCCTCCTCCCTCAACTCTCACCCCTCCTCCCTCACTCCCCCCTTTCCACGTGGAGCAGACCAATCCGGCCAGCTGTACATAGACCAGCCGGCAACGCTGCTGATCCCCACCAACGTGGGGCACTGGCGCTACCTCACGCAGTGGAACACGCTCACGCCCAAGCAGAAGCGCCGCGTGCTGCGCTACCACGTGCTTAAGGGCCGCTACACCACACAGGAGCTCCTCGACGCGGCGCCGCTCACGCTCTTCCCCACGCTGAACCAGAACCTGCCGCTGAACAAGACTGCCAAGCCCAACGAGGTCTACTTCCAGTCCGTGCCCCCCATGAAGTTCGCCTCTCCCCTCAGCGTGCCCAACGCCGGCCTCACGGAGAATCTGGCGGCGCATGGCGTCACGTTTGTCATCCTGCCGCCCAACCTCGACTGCACCTCGTCTGCTTGCAAGAAGCGGCAGTTCTAAGAGGGGCTGGGTCTGGCGGCAGCTGCAGCAGCAGCATTAAAAAGGCCTTCTGTTTTGTGGGATGTGTATGCTCGGGTTCTTTGCGAATTGGGGCAGTTTGTGGTAATGTGGGTGCTGTTGATTCGGATCAATGAGCAATGGGTCAGGCGGGCATGCTGTTACCGGATGTTGCATGTATCGTATCCCTTGTTTCCATGTATGCGCTGCCTCAGTAATAAATTATTCCTTCCCAGTGTCTGCTGTCACAAGATTACCACTACCGGTATTCCTTAATGGGAGAAGAATGCAACTGTCTGTCTCACCAGTTGGCTGGCTGTCAGGCCCCCTAAACTCGAATGGCAGAAGCTGTCAGAAATCTAGGCAGGAATGAATAAACTAGGCAGGAAGGTGGGGTACAAATATAAACCCTAACATTGGGTTGTACCCCATATGGGCTACCCCACTACAGCCTACAGACTATACATGTATATATAGTTTGACACACCCCCATAGGCAAAGTGGGGGAGAATAAGGGGTCACAAGACCAGTCAAGAAAAGCAAAGCAAGCTCAGGGTGGATCACAACGTCACCACACACACTGAGCACAAGCAAAGGGCCACAAGGCCAGTCCACATGCAGAGGTATATATGCAACACGAACTGCACAGTGATCACTACCTAGCAAGAGCAAGCATGCAGGTATATGTATATAGATCACAGTACAAGCAAAGCCTACAGCAAGTGTGGAAACGTAGGTACAAGGCCTAACAAGGTACAGAAGCGCTGATGATCACCAGACGGAAGTGCCTTGGTGAATATATCAGCAGTGTTGGCCCGAGTGGCCACGTGAGCAAGACGAAGCTGACCTCGCTGCTGCAACTCTCGAGCCAGGAAGTAACGCTGAGCGATGTGCTTCGTTCTGTGCTCCAGTCTGTGCTCCTGACACAAGGCAATGGCGGCCTTGTTGTCAACATACAGAACTGGAGGAGAACGAGGCCGCTCTCCCAAGTCAGTCAGCAGGTAGGTGAGCCAGCGTAACTCCTGTGCAGCCATGGCTGTGACGTAGATCTCAGCCTCACAACTAGAGCTGAGAACAGAAGACGAGCGTGTAGACCGCCAAGAAACAGAGCCAGAGCCAAGACTGAAGGTGTAACCCTGTGACGACCGCTGCGTAGCCTGGTCGTCAACCCAAGAAGCGTCAGAGTGTCCAGTGAGGACAACGTCACCCCGTCCTCCAAGCACGAGCCCCATGCCTGATGTACTGCACAGGTAGCGCAGTACCCTCTTCGCAGCTTCCCAGTGCACCTTTCGGTGCCTACCAGGAGCCACGTAGCGAGCCAGAAGGCCAAGAGGGTACGCAAGGTCAGGTCGTGTGCAGGTCATCAGGTACATGAGGCAGCCCACTAGCTCTGGGTACGGACCACTCGGCCGAAGCGCTGAAGGACCTGCTGCACCATGTGTGACTGAGTCAATGTGATGGTGCGGCGTGCTCTGTCCCAGGTGATCTGCAAGCCAAGGTAGCTGCGCAGCTCACCCAGGTCTGTGCACGTGTGTCTCTTCTGCAGCTCCGACTTCACCAGTGCGAGAGCCTCAGTGTCAGCAGTGGCAAAGACCAAGTCGTCGACGTATACGAGGATGTAGAACGGCGGCAGCGAAGTGTCGGTGCGCAGAAACAGCGACGGGTCAGCAATCGAAGGAGCAAACCCAAGAGCCGCAAGTGTCGTCCTCAGTGTCTCGTGCCACTCACGAGGTGCCTCTGGACTTCCAGGATGCCATCTCTGCGTCCATGGCTACCTGCCACTGAGAGGAGTACTCACCCGCGATCGCCTCAGCGTAAGAGCGCGGGGTCGGGATGTCTACAGCATCCGGGTCTCCCTCAGGGGCAAGCAGCATGGCCACGAGATGAGGCGCAGCGGCTGCAAGACACTCAAGGTCCTCGTGTCTGTCCTCAAGGACGTCCGTGCCAAGAGCACACTCACCCCCGACGGACGGAGGACAGACAGACTCAGACTCAGCAACAAGGCTAGCAGCGTAGTCTAGATGACAGGCAGCAGCAAAGTCAACAAGCTCAGCGACTAAGGCAGACGCAGCAGCAGACTCAAACGACGGGTCAGTGACAACAGTGGCTAGCAGACGCGTGACAGTAGGGTGCTCAGCACGAAACTGGTCGGACACAGGGTCCGGAACGGCAGGCAAAGAGGACGCAGGAGGAGACGGCAGAGAAACAGGCTGCGGAACAGAGGAAGGACGAAGTGCCATAATGTGCGTGCCAGGGACAGGAGGAGGACGCTCACGACTAACACGACCAGTGCGACCAGTGTGACCAGAGGGAACAGGCGAGACAGGACGGGACGCAGACTTGCGACGCTCAGTAACACCGCTTGTCTGCTCAGTGTAAGGAGAGGGAGCAGGCAGTGGGGGGAACCTGGCTGTAACGGTAGGCCAGTGGAAGACGGCAGGGTAAGAACCTGGCGAAGCACTGTGTCAGGAGGCGGCAGAGACGACGACGACGGCGGAGAGAAGAACAGTCGCTGCGCAGCAGTGCCACCAGCACCAGTAGCTCCAGCACCTCCAGACCCTCCAGCTCCAGCTCCTCGAGCGCCAGTGCCACCAGCAGCAGCACCCCCAGAACCGGCAACTCCAGTCCCAGTGTCTCCAGCAGCAGCACCCCCAGAACCGGCACCTCCAGTCCCAGGGTCTCCAGCAGTAGCACCCCCAGACGCAGCACCTCCAGCCCTTGCAGCTCTAGTACCTCCAGTACGAGCACCTCCGGGTCTAGCGGCTCCAGCACCTCCAGCAGACAAAGTACCCGCAGTACTCCCAGCTCCAGTGTCAGCAGCTCCAACAGCACCTCCTGCGGCAGGGTCAGCAGTACCACCAGCTCCAGCGTCCTCAGGCCCAGCGGCTCCAGCGTCGTCGGCACCTCTCGCTCTAGCCCCAGTACCCTCTGAACCGGCACCCCCAGCTCCAGGGACGTCAGCAGAAGCGCCTCCAGCGGCAGAGCCCCGAGCTCCAGCAGCGCGACCCTGACGGCGAGCGTACCACTCGTGCAGCTGCTGTGGGGAGAGAGGCGCACGCGGACGAAGGCGGCCACTCCAAGGAGACCGCGCACCAGCAGTGTCAGCACCCTCAGTCGCCGCACCCCCAGACTCAGCACCCCCAGGCTCCTCACGCTCAGGCTCAGCACCCCCAGACGCAGCACCCCCTGGCGTAGTACCTCCAGTCTCCTCACGCTCAGGCTCAGCACCCCCAGGCCCAGCACCCCCAGGCTCCACACGCTCAGGCTCAGCACCCCCAGACTCAGCACCCCCAGGCTCAGCACCCCTAGGCTCCGCACGCTCAGGCTCAGCACCCCCTGACGAAGCACCCCCAGGCAAAGCACCCCAGAGACAACACCCCGAGCAGGACCACCTCCAGCAGGACCTGAGTCACCAGTGACCTCAACAGGCTCAGGCACAGGAGGGTCTACCTGAGAAACACCTGAAGGAGCAGGACCTGGCGCGGGGAGGGGGTCTACCTGGGGAGGACCTGGAGCGAGAAAGAGCGGAGGGGGGGGGGAGCGGCAATGCGGTAGGGAAAGAGACGGTAAAAGGGGACCGACTCGTCGAAGGTGACGTCCTGAGACGCAAAGACACGACGTTAAGATACGACAGTAAAAGGGGACCGGCAAAGGCGGGGTCGTAAAACTGCCAGCCAGGCGCGTCAGAGGGAAAACCAAGGAAGACACAGGGAATGGCGTGAGCGGAGAGCTTGTCCGCGGTGGTATCGCGGACAAAGGCACGAGCACCCCAGACCCGGAAGCGCGACGCATCGCCAACCTCCCCTGTCCACAGCAGTGTGGGCGAGGTCTCCGGCAAGGAGACACGAGGCCAGAGGTTGAGCTGATGCGCGGCGTATCGGACCGCAAACGGCCACAGAAAATGGGGGGCAGCCGCATGGATCATGGATACGAACGACCTCCATGACTAAGCCAATGCGGCGCTCAGAAACCCCATTCTGCTGCGGAGAGGCCGGAAGCGTGAACGACTGGCGGATGCCGTGCTCCTCACAGAAAGCTCGCAAGAGGTCGGAGGAGAACTCACCACCTCGGTCAGAGTGCAGACGCAGGACTGGAAAGTCCGACTGGAACCGCTCGCGGAGCTGGAGATGAACAGCGCGGATCCAGGGGATCAGAACATCAGGGACCTGACCCTTGCTGCGCAAGGGGAAGACCGTGGTGTAACGCGTGTAGTCGTCGACGACCAGCAGGAAGTACCGCTCGCGGCCCTGCCCCTGGACGCGGGCTGGGCCCCACACGTCTAGGTGGAGAGTCTGCAGTGGAGCCTCAGTGGGAGGGAACGAGGAGGAGTGAGGAGCGGCGCGCTGCCGCCCCTCGACGCAAGGAATGTAGGGCGGCGCAGGCGAGGGAGGGAGGGCGGGCAGAGACCTGGGAAGACCAGAGACCAGGAGGCGAGAGTGCATGCCACGAAGGCGGGGTAGAGAGGGGTGACCAAGGCGGTGGTGCCACATGAGAGTGTCGTGCGACAGGCGGCGGCACTCACACTGGGTAGCTACCTGAGCGGACGCGTACAGCTGAGGAGACACAGGGTTGAAGCGCGACACAGTGGTGAGGGTGTACAGACTGGACCCTGGCGCACGTGTGAACGTGGCCAGGTGGAGCACGTACATATCGCCACACGCTGTCCCCCAGGAGTAAAGGTGTCAACTCAATGATCCTGAAGGACGGCGTTGCTCACCAGGTTCGTAGAGAACGAGGGGATGTGGAGACCTGACAGCTCACCGGACGGGACCGCCGGACACGGAAGCACAGTAGTGGACCGTGCAAGCACTGGGCCCCCAGAGGGGTCAGCCAGTGAGACAGGGACAGGTGCAGGGAGGGGAGTGACTGTGGTACTATCGCGAAAGAAACAGCGGAAAGCACCTGAGTCAAGCGTGAAGGTGTGCAAGGCCTCAGTAGGCGCAGTACCAGAGAGAGCAGACTCATTAGCACCTAGAGCAGCAGCTGCTATACCAGGGTCAGGG